TTGCCACTCCGGTGTGCGGCAGCAGTAGGTAGAATGATACAGTTGAGGGTCTGATGCTTTTCATTTCACCGTCACATTTCACACTGGAGAAGCAAAAATAAAAACGAAGATGTAAATACTGAAGAGTTCCTGCTGCGTTCTGGATCCTTGAGGTTAACTTTTCGATAATATCGCTGTGGCTTTGAGCTTTTTAATGATTTCTTTCATAGAGCTCAGCTTTTTCACACCAGAGTCAAATAAACATCATAAAATTATCTGAGTTCTGGGCAAAACCTGCAGATAAAGAGTAGATTTTTGTAGAGAAACACACTTTTTTAAAATTCCAGTTGTGTCTGTAGAATAAAAGAATATATTTTAGAAACCACCACTAAATCTTAAAATCAAAACAAGGGTTGATAATTACCGATAACGGAAACTATGGCATTCAAATCCAGTGTGTAATATACCACTAAAACATCTTTAGAAAATGGAAAGCTAATTTGCTCTTTTTAAATGCAATAGTTTTTTTCCAATTGTTTTTCTGATAAATTAATTTAATAATTTGTTTCTAAAACTACAGAAAGTAGTTTAATTTGCCCGTCAAGGGTTCCCAGAGCCCAAGGTGATTGCTTTCTTCAGATTGCTTGTTTTGTCTAATCAAACCACATTTTCATTTTGTTGTACAACCATCAAATTTGAAAAGCTGGAACCAACAAATGTTTGCTATTGTTGCATATTAACCTTCTGTCCATCCACTCATTTAAGCTCTAATATTACACATTTTATGCATTTTCCAGTTTCTGATTGTGTTGCATTGTTTCTCTTAAAAAGTGTCCTGCCTGTGTTTTTCCTCCCATAACCGTCACGTGAATAATCTCAAACTTGATGCGACTGATCGAATCAACCTTTGATTTTAAATGAAACTATGAATTCTGCATGCAGGTCATTTCGATCTCACATAAACAGGTGTGTTTCCAGTCCGTGTCCCCGCAGAAGGCGAGTCACGCTTCACTCTTTGCTTTGCATGACCTCTTTTGACCGATGAAGATCTTTCATGCAGATTATACATCAGGAAGCCACCGGGCATTTTACAGCCGGTGCAGCAGCAGATATGTCACCAGATGAAAGCAGCACCTCAAGAACGTTATCCACTTATACTCTATATATCATTTCCTTTCAGCAAATATTTGGCAGGAAGCCTAAAAGGTGTTATTGTAGCTGACTCTGCAGGCACTGGTGGGATAACGTGACTATTTTAAATGCCTGCTAATCCACAGTAATCTGGCTACTTGGCCGCAGTTAACTCAATCCTGGGACCAACAGACCCGTCCTGTGTCCACACCACAAACTGGGATAGACGGAGGCCTACATTTTTTGCATTGGTGGGTTGTGTTTTGTGGCCCCAGGATGTAGTGTTACATTTAATAATCATGTCACACACACTTCAACTTCTCCACCTTTTTCATTCGCCGTCTGTCCTTGTCTAGACTGCCAGAAGGTCAGAAATAAGGACTGCGTTGAGGAACAAACTTGGCATTTAAACAGGCTACATAAACATATATACGGAACTTGTGACTACATGGGTCTGCTGTGTGTTTGGTGTCCGTCCGTCTGTTTACGATTTTGGGCTCAGTGGTCGTCAGTAGCAACCGCCGGAGCAATAAAAGGCAGGAGAAAATCCTCCGAAATTAATCCGCAGATGAGTCGTCAGGCGCGGCGATAAAAGCGAACGAGCCGGCCTCACGCGGTCCGCAGGTGTGTCCGATGATTGGAGTCGAGCTCATCTCACACGCAATTAATAATCAATTAGCGGGAAGGCTGTGTCGACACGTGAACAACACTAAACAACAATGAAATGTTTAACTGCAAGGGTGGTACAAAAAAAGAAAGAAAAGAAAGAAAGAAAACTGTGGCGCGTCTGTGCGTAATGTGGCAAAATAAAATAGATCCTGGAAAAGTTGTGTGATTCCAGCATTGACTAGCCCAGTCCCCTGAGGGCTCTCCTGGGTGTCTGTTGCGTTAATACTCACGCTGCCTGCATTGCGTGGCTCCATAGTGCTGGGGAATCCTTCTTGGCTTCTCTTTCATTCCGTCTCTCCTACAAAATAGAAAATCCCCGGAAAAATAAGGGAGGAGGGGTGGAAGAAAAAACCAGCAAGCGACACCCAGCCGTCCGTGGCTGCCACACACTTAACCCCCCCAAAAAACAGCCCGTTAACTGGGACGACAGCCAACCGCTGAGGGCTCCTGTTTCTGTGCGCACATCTCCGCCGAGTGTCCGGCAATGCCTGCTGCCTCCGGCAACCGCATTCCCCCATCCACAGCGGTTCACTGCCGGGCCGCGACGGAAACAGCCGAGCTCTCCGCGCCGCCTCACCTCGGCGCACCTGCTCTGGCACCCGAGTGTGCGGGCACACCGCCGCCTGGCGGACAGCCGCGGTACAGGCACGACATGGAGGTCATGGGGATCCAAATAGTTCATATTAAATAAATGTTATTTAAATAAACACAATATACGTAGCATAACCATGCAAATGTGAAGCAATCAAATTAGATCATTATTATAAAATGTAAACGTTTTTATTTTAAAATGTTGAAGAATCATAACAATAACCTAAGTTTTAAAACATTTTTTTTCTCAAAATGTCATGGCTGTAGGCCTATATTTTGTCTGCATTTATTCATATGATTACTTATTTCATAATGTAGCAGGAAATGTAATGAATCATACTATTTAAAAACAATAGTTAATAGTTAACACACATGTGGTTTGTGTACAGATTCACAGGTAGAGCCAATCACTCTTTATCTTTAATTAGAACCTACTTTTATTTATTTTTGGTTATTTACATAATGTTCAGTACTACCATATATGAAACACATATATATTACATATATGGAAGTCACATTTCACTGTTTCATTCATTAACTGGAAAATGGGGGAATGTTCAAGAATGAATACCTTAAATTATAGATGTCCTTCTCTCCACATTCTTGTGGTTTTATATCAATAACAGTAATTGAGTGTTTTAACATCAATCAATTCCTTTTTTCAAATAAGAGGAATGTGATTCTAAATCTTATCAAATGCAGCTCTTCTGTCTGATTTAATCCATTATCTTTGACATGAAAGTTTGGTTAATTCAAAATAGGATTAAAAAAAGGGTTAAAACTTTATAAATAGCTGTTTTTTTCATCGGTTTATATTTCATTTCATGTTTTTCCAAAGAGGTGGCATGTTACAAAATGTTGAATACAGGAATATACTGCATGAAAAGGCTTTTTTATTACAAGAGAAATAGAAAAGATAAAAGCATAGTTGGCATCATACAGGCTCATCACAGCACAAAAGCACCAAAGACACACACACACACACACAAAAAAAACAATATGAAAAGAGAGAGAAAGAATATGAGATAATATAATCAGTCTCGTACGACCATAAAGAAAACACCAGCAGCACTGAGAACAGAGTCAGCAGCTCCACAATCACAGAGCATCTATAAACAATGTACAGAGGGTCCATGAAGGCTTCATGGAGAGTTTACAAAACTCTATACAAAGTCAGGTGGGCGATGTATGTCTGAATGAGATAGATATTAAAATCAAGACAAGATAGACAGACGTCAAATCCTCAAATACTTCATCTCAGCGTCACCAAACTTGCCTGTAGAGCAAGTCAAAATACTGCCTATGATAGGCTGAAGGCTCAATCATTTGGTGTTTCTCAGAGGCTCAAGTAAACACTTAGAGCACAAATACTAAAAGGTACTCTTAAATTTGAGAATTATATGACACATTTAATTCCAAACTAAGATATACACAGTGTGACAAATATAATTCCCAGTCCATTGTGACAATACATTTGCTCTGACATTAAATGATCACTCCCTAATGACTACAAAAACTAAGGGTTAAACAATGACAACAACAAAGATTTGTGTTACTTCCAGCTTTTTTCAACACAATGTGTTTTTGTTGGTCAGGTGTCTCAAAAAGTAATGAATAGGTTTCTTTGAATTTTAGTTGGTTTTTTTTGTCACTAGATATTATTTTTTTGGACTCTACAGTTCGATGATGCATTCATATGCTGGTTGGTGAGTTGTAACTGCAAACACTTTTAGTAATATTGAGGAATGAACATTATGTAGTTTTTAAAAATGAAAGTATATTTGAGACGACCTGTTCAGGGGCAGTTAGGCAGCAAAGGAGACAGTTCCTGCACAGCTGCTCCTTTGTTAAAATGTGCACATTTGTTCTATAATTCTTAGATAATATTAGTAAAGTTTGGCTATTTAAAGAATAAGTGATCCAGTACTTAAAAAAAAGAAGATCTTTAACATTGTAAGATGAGGTCATTTTTGCCTTCCATATTTTTTCAGAGCTACTGCACTCACTTGAATGAAAATGCATCTAATTAGTGTTTATCACAGTGAAGTTTGATGCAAATCTAAAAGCAAATTTTGTGGATTTTTAAAGTAAATTTAGAGGGTTGGTCAGCTTTGGTGAACGAGTGATTTCTAGTTCTTTATTTAAAACTAATCCTGCTGCAGTAATATCCTTCGTGTTTATATGACAATTTCTATCTGCATTAAAGCTTTGTCCTGTTTGCTTCATGTGCAGCTTGCAGAAAACATTTCTGCCCTACGTGGGCATTTTTGTTGCTGCAGACAGTGCCCGAACAACCGGAGCAGCTTTAGTGGACCTTGAATGTGGCTTCACAGGCGTTTCAGCCCAAATGATCCAAATCCTGAGAGACAAACAGCAGCGAAAAGATGTTGAACAGGAGCAGAGAGGTTTTGAAAAGTTCTTTTACACCTATGACTACCAGACGCCATGACCTTTTGGTCCTCCGGCCATACTGATCATACGATACAAGCTCGTCCAATACACAGTGTGCAACCACATACAGCTTAACACTAAGAGTACATACATGTTTCAAATATACTTTTTATGTGTTCAAGGTACATGCGTGCACGTGTAAACATAGACTCAGCCGATTACAGGCTTTGGATCCAGGGGAGTCTGATAGTATAGGGTACATACAAACACACAGGCATACACACACACCACACACACACACCTGAGATGCCTTAATATTGGGCCAGATTGTTCAACAATACTATAGCTTCAGTTTCCTTTCAAGTGTGAGAAGTATATGGTAGTAGTGTGCTATCAGGTACGGCAGTAAGTCAGTCTTCTGGCAGTGCTAAATTCGACAGTGGTTTCCCCTTCTTAGGTTCAACCATGTAGCGTTTACAGACTATCAAATGGTCCCATTCATTAAGTTGAATATGGTGAAGATAATCAGCTGACACTTAAGGTACATTAGAAGAAAACCAAGATGAAGTCAACATATACTGTACATCATTAATAAATATATTCTGTATAAATCGTACTGATGACATCTTCACTTACTAAACCTATAATCAACAACAGTAAACTATTAGAAGTCAGTAATTATGCTTGATAATCTACCGTGTAGAGCCTGGTAAATGTGGAAGCACACAGGTAAAGTCCATGAAGATCTGTATGTTCAACATAAAAAAAAACATTCCACAATCGTGCTTGATTTAGAAATCACAGTAAATCACTGATTGAAGCCACTGCTGTTAAACCATATAGTGTACTACAGTGTAGATAGCACAAGTAGTAACAAAAACAGCAATACCAAATTACTGATGTTGCAACCTCCTAACTATAACCAAACCAAAACCTTCTGTTAATGATGATAACAGTACTTTAAATAATGTCCTGGAACTAATTATGACAGTCGAGTCAGCTAATTGTAAACATTGTCCTCCTCTTGACAAAAAGACAATGTCTCCATTCAGCTTCTAAACACTGAATATAGATGTGCACCACATAGAGAGAACTCTCCATAAATAGTAATTCAACCCCTGATCTTTGGAATGAAACCAAAGTTCCTGCGAAAATGAACTTAAGATTTAACTAAACCGGGCTGTTCAAAATAAAAACAAAAGGTGTGTCCTGATTCACAGGCTGCCTCATTTGAAGTCCGGAGTTTTCACAACAGGCTGAAACAACTGGCAAACTATTTCCAGTCTCCACCACGGTGTCCAACAATCCAATGGTGTCCTACAATGGTGCGTTCAGGCGTCCTCATCAACTCATAACTTATATAAATAGTAAAGATAAATGAATCAATATGGATACATTTACCAATACTGTAGTCCATTGTTTGGAGTTATGTTAAGGTGAACCATCACAACAGGTACTTTATAGTACTGAGATATCGTTAAACCTGCCCGAGTTTGACTACTAGTTCTTTATCCATGCTAGCAGCATAGACAACAACAATTGGATGGATTGCCATGAAATTAGTTTCAGTACAGGCATTCATTTCTCCCTCATGATGAACTGAATTGAAAAGACTACATCTGAACAGAGCAGCTAGCATGGCTGTAGACTCTTCGACTTGTTGCAACTTTGCTGATGAACATGTTTTTGTTGTTCTTTTGCTTTACGAGTTGACAAGGATCACCTAAATGCACCGTTTTTGTCACTGTGACGCTTCACTGTTTATTTGGGGGAGGAGGTTCAGCCAAAGGAAGCTGCCTATGAATTTGGACACAGCTCGGATCATCCCCTTAAAGTTGCTCAAACACAGGAGTTACTTCCTGTGAGTTCAGCCCTGATGTCATCTGGATGTCTGGACCTGATTGGGTGGCTGGGCATAAAGGTACTTCCAGATGGCGTAGTAGTGTATGGACGCTCCCATAGCTACAAACAGGTGCCAAATGGCATGAGCGAATGGGACGATGCCATCACTTTTAAAAAAGACCATCCCCAGACAGTAGCAGGCTCCGCCCACCAGAAGCTCACACAATCCCGACTGCTCCGGCTGTAAAGAAGCAGACATCTCATTACGTTTAACTTTTAAACACATTACAATGAGGAAGTGAATAAGAAAACTCAAAGACTGCAGGTAAGACTAAATGCTCACCATTGAGAGGATGACCAGGGCAGGAAAAACTCCCATCACTGTATAGCAGATCAACTCCGTGATCTTATACCTGACACAAAGAGGAATAATTCAGCAGGTGTCTTAACTCTTAAGTCTCAACTCAATGTCCCACTTACTGGCTATTTCTGAGTTTTCAACTTAAATAGAGAGACAGTCCAACATTGATAAAAGTAAACAAATGAACATATGAACTGACCTCTCATGGAAGAAGAAGACGTAGGTGGTTCCAAAAGAGGCCATGACCCAAACCAGCCAGCGCATGTGACATCCCCAGGGACCCAGCTCCCGCAGGTTCAGCCTGTTGAGGCATGGAACAGGAACACATGACTACAAACACGGTATATAAAACAGACAAATACGCATATACATGAAGCAGGCTAGTTTGTTTACCAAGGGGCGTAGGAGGCAGCAATGAAGAAATAGATCACCATCCTGTCACACATGTGGAAACAGTGCTCCACAGACCTGAAGAGAGAGACCAAACAGCCTCATGACAACTGAGTGACACTGTTTATACATGTAGCATCAGTGTGTTTTAATTATCAAAAACAAATCTGGAGTGCAGGGATATGCATATTTGTTCTGGTGTGTCTCTGAAGTGAAAGGGGCCATGCAGTGTCCTCTTACATCTTTTAACCATAAATATCAGCAGCATTGTTACAATTCAGTCCAAGTATTGTGTGTGTGTGTGTATGAGTGTGTTTTTGTACCGCAGATGGCTCTTCTTCCAGGCCACAGTGTGGAAGAGGGTGGAGATGATGAAGAGCGAGCTGAGCCCCGCCCCGTACACCCAGGCCGACAGACGCTCCCATTGGTCCTCCGACTGGAAGTGCAACACGGAGCTGCCCAGCAGGCTGGGGATTATCCATAACTAGATGAATTAATCACACAAATGAAACATGAGTTACAGACAGACAAACAGATAAACATGCAGGATAAAAGTGAAATCTTGAGCATAGGTGTAGTTTTAAAAAAAGAACCTGGCATTGTCTCTCTGTTATGTCTCTGTTATTGTCTGTTATGTCATAGTGCTGGATTTTTCTCCTGTTTTCACTGAGTGTGTAATTTGTTAATGATCACCTTCTGTGGTCTGTGAGTGTGTGTGTGTGTGTGTGTGTGTGTGTGCGTGTGTGTGTGAGTGTGTGTGCATTCACCGCATGCGTGGCACAGTTGGCAGCATGCTCATATTCTGTGGGCTGGTATCTCTTGTTAGGAGGAACACGGTTGTTCATAAACCTGGAATCATCAGAAAATCACCGGGTTTAAGTTGATGCATCGCCATGAAATGTTTAATATCTGAACTGAAATCTAAAATTGAACACAAGCACGTACACCAGCAGGGAAACAAGCAAACTGGAAAGCAACAAAATCACATAAGGAGGACGTTCATGTTGTAATTCTACTCTTTAAAACAACAACAAAACAAATAGATACAGAAGATAACACCTTCCAATATTTGTATCCATTTCATAAAAATCTCACCCCATCCTGTCCCTCTTGCTTAGCAACACGAGATCACGCTTCAACTTGTTGCCATGACTGCAGTTGCCTGGCAACAGTGGGTAACCACGGACCGACTGAACCGACGGCGGGTTTGTCCCGACGATCTCGTTCATAAACAATTCACATGTACAGATATTCCTGCATATTCATATTCACACACGACACACACGCACACACACACACGCACACACAAACAAACACACACAGACACACATATATGTATATATACTCCCTTTGAACAGACGCCCAAACAAACATAGAACAGCTCAGTAGGTAGCAACCCCATCAGTGATGTCACTGTTGTCATGGAAACCACCGAGCAGGGATTGTCTTTTTTTCTTTCTTTTTTTTTTCTTCCCACACCAGAAAACTCCTCGTTTCTTTCTTCGCTCATCTCTCCCATCTTCCTCTCCTGCTCCCCGACCATGTCTCCTCTCTGCTTCCCGACAATTAAATTAACATGCAGGAAGGCAAATGGACAAAGACGTCCATGCAGACA